ACAGATGTTTGTAGTAGCTGCAGTCAGCTGCAAAAAAACCTAAAAAGTTCTCGGTGAACACCATCCTGTAGAAGGAAAGACACTGGACATTTTTTTTTCCCTTTGAAGTCTCAGTATATAGCCCTGGCTGACCTGAACTTGCTATAGAAACTAGCCTGGACTTGAATTCCTAGAAATCCAGTTGTCTCTGCCTCCGGAGTGTTCTTTTATAAAGAAACCTGGTGTGCAGGATAGTTTTACATCAATGTGATATAAGCTAAAGTCATCTGAGAGGACAGAATCTTAAATAAGAAAATCTCAAGACTGAGCATGCAGGGCATTTCGTGACATCATGATGGGGAAGGGCCCAGCATATTGTAGGTGGTGCCATCCCTGGGTTGGTGGTCCTGGGTTCTTTAAGAAAACAGGCTAAGCAAGCCAGGAAGCAGCAACCCTCCATGGCTTCTGCATCAGCTTCTGCCTCCAGGTTCCTGTCCTGATTACCTTTGATGAACTGTAATGTGGAAGCTGAAAAAACCTGGACCAGGTTGCTGAGGTTGTGAAGTATCATCTTACCAATAGTCACCTAATTCACTGAGGAGGACAAACTGAGGTTCTGGTAGTGGTGGGTGAGCAGGAGGGGATTGAGGTTAATGGAGACACTCATCCATGTCATGTTTACCATGGAGCTAGCACAGAACTGCCCATGCTTTGAGATTATCATAACTATACCAAGAAGAACATCTGAATTTATTGTGTGATGTTTAAAGAATCTACTTAATATTTTAACTGTAAAAAGAGTGACAGATTGAGCTGGGCAGTGGTGGTGCATGCCTTTAATGCCAGCACTTGGGAGCCAGATCTCTCTGAGTCTGAGGCCTGCCTGTCTACAGGGTTCCAGGACAGCCAGGGCTGCTACATAGAGAAACCCTGTCTCGAAAAACAAATAAACAAAGAACAAAAAGAAAAAAAAAATTCACCAAAAAGAGGAGGCAAACAAAAGACTCAGGAGGCAGAGGCAGGGTCATCTCTGCAGTCTGAAGTCAGCCTGGTTTGATGTAGTCTCAGACTCTCTCAAAGGGGGAGTGAGGCAAGAGAGCAAAGAAAGGACAGGAGGCAGGGCTGTTGTTAAAGTGCCTGCTTTGAATATTTAAAACTATTAGTGTTACAAAAACACATGATGGAACTGATTCTAGGTAATAATAGGAAAGGAGGGCCAAAGGGGGTGTAAATTGTTTTTCCTGAGGCTGGAGAAATGACTCAGTAGTTAAGGGCCCTTGTTGCCTTATAGAGCACAGGAGTTGGTTCCCAGCATCCATGTCAGATGATTCATAACCACCTGTAACTTCGACTGTCAGGGAATCTGATCCACTCTCTGGCCTCCCCAGGCGCCAGCATGCAAATGTGCTAGTGCATGCGGGAACGTTTGCATGCGCGCGCGCACACACGAATAAAATCTTTAGGGGCTAGCAGTTAAGAGCATGTGTTGTTCTAGAGGACACAGGTTCAGTCCCCAGCAACCACTTGGTTCACAGTCACTTGTAATTCGTTGCAGGTGATCCCAGGATCTCTTCTGGCTTCCCTGGGCACCAGGACTACATGCACACAGCACTACATAAACATAAATGTGGGCACTCAACATACACTTGAAATAAAGGTCAGTATATATACACCTATTTTAAATTTTTAATGGTTAAAAAAAAAGGCTGGGTGTGGTGGTGCTTAGGAGGCAGAGACAGGCAGTTTGAAGCTAACCTGTTGACAACATTGAGTTCTAGGACAGTCAGGGCTACATAGAGTGATCCTCCCTCCCCCTCTCTTTCTCTCTTTCTCTCTCTCTCTCTCTCTCTCTCTCTCTCTCTCTCTCTCTCTCTCTCTCACACACACACACACACACACACAAAACTAAAAATAATTCCTTGGTAGATTATGCAGTGATATATCTGTGTAGAAGAGCTTGGCACTTTTTTTTCTTTCTTTTCTTCTTTTTTTTTTTTTTTTTTTTTTTTTTTTTTTTTTTTGCTTAAGACAGGGTTTTAAATGTAGGCAATGCTGGCCTTGAATTTTCCATCCTCCTAACTCAGTGCTGAGATTACAGGAATATGACAACCCAACAGTGTGATGGTTTCTAAAAAGCTAGGCATACAACCTAATAGCTTCACTAGACTTGCAAGAAATGAAAGTGTATCCACACCAACAGGAAGCAAATATTCCCAGAAGCATTTCATAGCAGCCAGGAAGTAGAAAAAGCTCAAATATCCAATGATGGATAAACCAACAAATAAAAATGTTCCATGCACATAGGAAAACATTATCCAGATAACTTTTTTTTCCTCCTGAAACAGGTTTTCTCTGTGTTGCCCTGGCTGTCCTGGAACTTGCTCTGCCTCCTGAATGCTGGAACTAAAAGTGTGCACCATCATTGCTCACCTATGATACCAAATTTTCTAGCAGAGGCTGGAAAGATGGCTCAGTGGATAAAGCCCTTGCTGCACAGCCAGAGTGAAGATCAGAGTTTTGATCTCCCATGTACATATCAGACAAATATGGTGGTCTGCCTCAGGAAGCAGGGATGGGATTCTTGGAGCCCTGTCTCAATATACAGGGTAGAAACTGACTGAAGACTCCCCATATCAACTTCAGAATTTCACATGGGTGCCCACACATTATGTGTACAAATGCACCACATAAGAAAAAATTCTAACACATGCTATAACATGGATGGACCTTGAAAGCATCATGCTAAAAGGCATTACACTTCTAATTAATGTTATTATCCTGAATATGTACATGTGCTGATGGAAGAGTTTGTAAAACCTGGGGACTCATGAGATGTATTGTAGCTAGTAACCTCCCTGGGAGGCAACGTACAGCAAAGCCACACCTGCTCATGGGCTGCCTCCATAGAGCTGGTGACTTAGACTTCTCTTCTTCCCTGTAGCCTAATTCCCTGGTGGCATCAAGGAAGAGGACAATTCAACATCTATCTTATTAGACAGAAGGCAAGGACTTAGAAGGCAGCTGCTCAGAGGTCTGAGCAACTTCGTCAGCTGCAAGCTTCTCCCCACCCCCAGGGCTGCAACAGATGGAGAGCTGACCACTGCAACCGTCTGCTGCTGGAAGCACTCCCTCACTGCACAGGTTCAGATTCTCTTATGACTCCTCCCTAACTTAGTCACTATGGACACTGCTGTTTTGTTTTGTGTTCTTGAGTCAGAAACTCACTCTGTACACTAGGCTACCTTGAACTCAGAGACCCAAACTGCCTCTACCTCCCAAATGCTAGGACTGAGGGTGCATGCCACCATGCCCGGTCCTCTGTGGATAACTTTCTATTCTACAGTTCCATCTCCTGTGTGTTGGATGTTGGGTACAGTAGGGATGGAACCCAGAGGCTTGCATATGACAAGTGTGTTCTACCACTGTACTATACCCTCAGTCCCTCTATTTCCCTTTAATGAGAAGAACATAACTACAATGTGACAATCCACCAGTTTGGGGCTGATATTGGTAGAGAGTTTACAAGAGGCCTGGAGTTCAATCCCCAGTACCACCATAGCCATATACACTTGTGCGACAGCGCTCGAGAAGCAGAAGCTGGATGGCCAGAAGGTCAAAGTTATCCATGGCTACTTGGAGAGTCAGAGGCCAAGCTAGGACTAGAAACTCTGCCTTTAAAAAGTTACCAGCTGGGCAAGGTGGTGGGCACCTTTAATGCCTCTGTGAGTTCAAGGCTAGTCTGGTCTATACAGGAAATTCGAGAACCAAAAGCCAAAAAACAAAAACAAACAAACAAAATCAGGCTTCAATCTCAATTACCTAATTAATGCTAGTTTTAAAACACATTTCTAAAGAAAAATAAGTACACATTACATATAAATGAACTGCCCACTGTTAGACACCCACTGTTAGAAACAAAACTTTAACACCATTATTTAACTGATCATATCTCAGCTGTGAATTTTTCTACATCAAAAAGGTTCAAACACTGGGAGGGAGAGACAGGTGGATGGATGTCTGTGAGTTCAAAGCCAGCCTGGTCTACAAAGTGAGTTCCAGGACAGCCAGAGCAGTTATACAGAGAAACTCTGCCTTTAAAACACAAACAAGGATCAATGTTAGAAAGACCAGAAACTTTTACCAAGCAGGAAAAAGTAAAGTAGAGGAAGGGACAGAAATGAGCAGTTCCTATAGAGAGATTCCAGAGCAATAAATCTGGTAAAAATGTCCAAAGTTCGCAGAGAAGTACAAGTCACTATGAGACACAAAAGTCATACACAGCCCACGTGAAATGCTGTAGGGAGAGGTCACTGCCCACCTGCTGTAAGACCCTTGTTGCAGTTCTTTGCAGAACAAGCACAAAATATCTAAGGGATAACCACATAACCCAACTGTCTTGGGGCCACTGTGACGGGCAGGCCTAGACCTGCCTAAGAGAACTCAAAGCGCAGAACTCAAGAGAAAAAAAAAAAACAAGAAGCATCTCCCACCAGCAAGCCACAGGGCACAAAGTCAGGTGGCGAAGCCAGTTCTCTGACATTGAGGCCATCCCGTGCTATTTCTGTATACTTTAAAACCAACACATATGGTGTGAAAATTCTGACAGACAGGAAGGAACATAAATAGGTCCTGAGGGCAATGCCTCCTTCTCATCCACAGCATGCTCACTGAGCTGGGCATGGACGGTCCATCCTGGTGCTCTTCCCATTTCCTATCGTGGTGAAGGGATTGGATTTTCCTTCTGACTAATTAAGATGCCCTGTACCCAGACCATGGTGCCTCCACCCCAACCTCAGTCCAAAGAGTGAACCAGGCCAGGACCCAGAGAAAAAACCCTGCACATGGGCCAGGCCAAGGGCCAGCCCTCCATCTCTATCCCATGATGAGTACTCCCATGTAGCCCTGGCCTTGAAGGAACACAGACAGCCAATGTGAACAGGAAAGCGGAGGCCCTAGAAGGTCATCACTACCTAGGCTGAACACAGCCAGCAATCTGGAGCCAGATGAAAACACTCATCACAGACATCTGAATAGTTTAATTGCTTCTCCTCAATACAGGCCACTGGCAGGACTGTGCAGCCCAAGCAGGCTCTTCTCCTGTATGTCTATGTCTGAGAGTGTTCCTCTCCTGGGCTATGCTCTGCAGGTGGATGCCCTTCTCCTGTGCAGCCCCTACCTCCTTTCCACAAGCCAGAGCAGGTAAGGTCAAACACCATACTCTTGTTGCTGGTGTGACTCTGAAGCTCTCTTGAGAGGTCTTTCTAAGTACCCCACCCAAGGGCCTCTCCCTTCCCCAGACAGAAAAGACAGCAAAAGCTTTTCTACTGGAAAGGTGAGAAGACCCCAGCCGGTCCCACAAGGACCGAGCTGAATGGACCCTCCACTCAGTCTACCAGTTGAGGACCAACTGGAGGCTCCTTCCTGCCTTTCTGTGTGATGGTGACTGGCTGAGGCCCTTCCCAGCACTCGCACCAAGCCTGCCCACCCTTGTGTGGCAGAGCCCTGGCCCAGTGTGGCAGCTCCTCACTGAGCTGCTATTCCTAGTAGGGGTGGCTAGAGTCCTGTAAGGTCCACAATAGCTTTGATGAAAATAGCATCGTCCCGCACATAGGAATTCTTGGCCTCCATCTTGGACACAGGGCAGAAGAGGGGGCAGCCACTGGCGATATTCATGTCACTGAGAGGCCTCTGGAAGGAGGATGAGGTCACATCAGGCCTGAATGCGTCGATTACATGCTCCCGGTTGTTCTGGTCCAGCAACATCAATGTTACCTGAGAGGAGTCAATCCAGGAAGGGAACAATTTGTGCGTGCGAGTCACCCAAAAGCCCACATTAGTCCTATCCTACCTCTCCCACGGCAGTGTGCCTACATACGTTGGCCAGGGTATTTGGCTTTTCATCTGGGAACAACACATGTCCATGCTGGCACTGTACACTCATAGCATCTGGGAATTGAGGCTAAAGCCTGCTACTATACACCACATTCCTGGGTGCTGCTTCTTTCTAGTGTTCATCTACAGATATTTTCTTGGAGAGATCCTGAAGCTTGCCCTGGAAGCATTTTGCAACAAGAATGGAAGTCTGACTGTTAGCTATGGATTGATTAGCCAGGGTCTCTGGGCCTCCTAGTCTTCATCACCTGCTCCACTGGCTTCCAGGGGGAGAGCTGGGCCCCGAGTGAAGGGACCATCATCAGTCCAACCTGGTCTCTGGAGTTTCAGTTCCTTAATTAAGGAAAACCCTGGTTTTAAACAGTCACACCCTAACTTGGATAGTTACACAGAAGACTTTCAAACTCCTGTGAGTCATAAAGCCAGTCATATGTGTCACAACAAGCAATGAGAAATCCCTTGAACACCACAGCCCAAAATGCCTGGGTACAGACAATGACTTGAACAACCTGGCTACTTGGAAGCTGTACCCAACCTCACTCAGATTCCCCCAGGCTCCTGTGGCTGCCTTTTATACCTTCTGATTAAAAGGCCACCGCAAGAGGGCATCATTGGGGCCTTTCATCACCACGAAGAAGAGAGACAGATGAGTTCCCCGCCCGGTGCCGTCGCCATTCAAGTAGACTCGTAGACACATCTTGTAGCCATATCTGCTTGTGTAGAAGGCTAGAAGTATGGAAAGGGTCAGTGAGAACAGGGCAGGACGTAGCTCTTCCACCCACAGCCCACCCTCAGAGAGATGAAAACACAATCATTCAGCTTTTGGGAAATATCAGGGGAAGGTTTTCTTCTCAGAAGAAACCCTCCACCCCCAGACAATCTTGCCATGTAGCTCAGGACAGCCCCCAACCCCAAATCCTACCCTACTCTCTTCAGAAAAGTTATTAGTGTGTGTGGTAACAAGCACTACTATGGGAGGGACACGCAAGCCATGGCAAGTATACGGGAGCCAAAGGACAACTTTGTGGAGCCACTTTTCTTCGTGTTTTCTGAGACAGGGTCATTCTAGGCTGTTCTGGAATTCACTATACAGACCAGGCTGGCCTCAAACTCACAGATATCCACCTGCTTCTGCCTCAGAGAGGCAGGATTAGAGCTGTGTGTCACCACACCTGGCTCTCTCCTTCCACTTTTTTGTTTTGCTTTATTTTTGAAGACAGAGTTTCTCTGTGTAGTCCTGGATGTCCTGGGACCAACTCTGTTGACCAGGCTGTCCTCAAACTCACAGAAATCTGCTTGCTTCTATCTCCTGAATGTTGGGATTAAAGGCCTGTGCCACCAATGCCCAGCTTCTACTACTTTTTTTAAAAAGGAATTTCTATTTTATGTACATTGGTGTTTTGCCATTGGTGTCAGGTCCCTTGGAACTGGAGTTATAGACAGTTACATATGAGCTGCCATGTTGGTGCTGGGAACTGAACCCAAGTCATCTGGAAGAGCAGTCAGTGCTCTTAACCACTGAGCCATCTCTCCAGCCCTTCTCCTACTACTTTTAATGTGGACTCCAGAGACCAATCTCACAAATCCAGTGAGCCATCTTGCTGTATCTCCCTTAAAAGTTAGAATTAAGAATGATAATTTTATTAACCCCAAACAGACAATGTACAAAACTATGGTGTCAAAACACTAGTAGCTGAGGTCCTCAGCAGAGCTGTAAAGGCAGACCAGGCCACAGGATCCCCAAACCTGCCTCAGCAGAAGCATCTGAGAAGCAGAAACTTGGGTCAGCAGTCCTGTCCCTCAGCCCGTACAGTAGTGGTTCTCAACCTGTGGGGCGTGACCCCTTTGGGTTCACATATCAGATATCCTGCCATCAGGTATTTCCATTAGGATTCATAATAGTGGCAAAATTACAGTTATGAAATAGCAACAAAAATAACTTTATGGCTGGGGGTCAGCACAGCATGAGGAACTGTATTAAAGGGTCGCAACATTGGGAAGGTTGAGAACCAATGCTCTACAGGTAATAAACAGCAGAACATGGTGAAAGCCATATAAGAAAAGAATCAGACCTAAGAACAAACTTCCCAATACAAGTTCAAGTTCAGCCTGGGCTACACAATAAATCTGAGGCCACCTTGGCTATGGGCTATAGTGTGAAACCCTGCCTCAAAAAATAACAAAAGGCACACGATATAACAAAACATGTAAATAGTTGATTGTAAAGATTAATTTTGGTGTCAGGCTGATTGGGACAAGAAATACCTAGATGACTACATTATGAAGTAAACTGCTGAGCAAGAAGAAGATACTAATAAAGGAAAGATAAAGACAAAGGCCTGGGCCATCACATGGTCTGGGGGCACCTCCAGGGGAATTGTGAAACATCCAGAAAGGTAGGCACAGTGGCACTATACTACTCATCTGTAGGTGACAAGTGGCATACTCGATACATATCTAACCTGACAACCAACAGCTCCTTGTGCCTATAGATTCCCAACTGAATGGGGCATGTTGCCCGCTTTGCTTCTCAAGGAGATGCAGATACTCCAGGTGCCAGGTGAGTATGTGCCCCGCCCGAGCCAGAGAACCATTCTATAAGGATTCTGGAGAGGATGTGAAGACCACAGATGGCACCTGGGGAGAAGATAGCGGGTGTACGGCCAGCTACAGCTTCTTGGCGCTTTCTGGCGAAGTCTGAGATCTTCCAGATGAAGACTCCATCATAGGTGGATGCCTCCAACTCTGAGACCTTCTGCTCCAGGTCAGCCATGGCCAGGTCCTTGAGGCCAATGCTCCTCTCTAGTTGCTGCACCTGCAGAGCAGAGACCACTTAACCTTGACAGGAGGGCAGGGACCTGACTGCCATATTCTGTGTGCCCCGAGCTCCCATTTCCCACACTGCTAGCCTTAGGAAGTCTCTGGAGTCTTTTCTGTCCCCAGGAGCTACATCCTAAATGTGAGGTACATGTTCCAGTCCACTCAGAAGGCTCCGGGCCTACATGTACCCAGTTACTTCATAGCCTCAGCATATTGCATGACTGATGCTGTGGCCTCAGGCCAAAAAAGGTTTCTGTTGGTAGCCCATCAAACCCAAAGGTTGAATCTCCCAGAGCATGAGAATCAGAAAGCAAGAGGCCAAAGCCCAAGACATGGAGTGTAGGAGTTCTATGCCACCCAGGCTCCAAAGATCCAGAACTTACTGTTCCTGCTAGGCACAAACCTTGTTACTCAGGGCCTCAATCTTGTCCTGGTCTAGCCGGTGCTGCCGACTACACGCCTCTGCAGTCACTGCCACCCTCTCTACTTCCCGATTCAGGACGCAGACAATGTTCTCGAAGGTGGCTGTCTTCTGCTCCAAAGTGTGGCACTGCTGCAGCAGCTCCTTGGCCTGGTTCTGGCTTCCCTGGGAGGCCGTGGACTCCAGGAATGAGCTCAGCAGCAGGGCCAGGTGCTCCCGTAGTCTCTGCACTTCATGACCTTCAAGTTCCTCGTTCTCCACCTGTGGCACAGGACACTGTTTGCACAGAACCAGCCCAGGCAGCGCAGTGCCAAGGGCCACACTGTACTGAGGGACATGCTTCCCGCCATTATGGTCATGTTTTCTACCCTCCTCAAACTGTTAAGTCCCAAATAAATTCTTTGCCTTCGTCATAGTGCCTTTACATAGCAACTAAGACACAACTTAATATTTTCAAACTTGTGTAAAATATTTTAAGAAGTTAAATACACTTCAAAGTTACAGTAATGCCATTATACTGTATACTAATTAAGAAAAATAAAAAGGTGCAGTGGCAAATGCTTTTAATCCCAGCATTCAAAAGGCAGAGACAAGCAGATTTCTATGAGTACAAAGCCAGCCTGGCCTACATACTAAGTTTAAGATCAGCCTGGGCTACATAGTAAGAATCTGTTTCAAAAACAAAAATAAAACATCAAAAATCAAAAACCAAACCCAACCTAAAACAAAACCAGGACTGGCAAGATGGCTTAGCATGTAAAAGTACTGTCACCAAGCCTGATAACTGAAACTCAATCCCTGGAACCCATATGCTGAAGGACAAAACCAGCTTTGAAAGCTGTGCACTGGTTTCACATGGGTGCTATGGCGCTCTCTCTCTCGCTCTCTCTCTCTCTCTCCACACACACACACACACACACACACACACACGTAATAAAAACATTTACAAATAATAAAATAAACTAATTTAAAAAGATACACTCAAAACACAAATGAAAAGAAACCATGACATCTGTGTCCCCAGTTAGAGGGACAAGCAGGAGAAATGTCTGTATCTCATCACAGAGCAGGCAGTAGCTAGAAATAAGATGAACACAAAAAGGACATGCCATTTGCTCAGGGGCTTCCCCAGCAGGCGCCAGCAAGGCCACCACAATGCCAGAGCTTAACTGGAGCACCCTATGAACTGAAAAGGCCTAGGACTAAGGTGACAGCAGCTCTGTTTTGTGGTAGCTTCTGAAAGACCTTTTGCAGGGAACTCAGTTACTTTGAAAGGGAGGCAGCAACTATTCCCACCACTCATCAGACAAGGACAGAGATGCTCTGTCACAGACACTGTATCCTCAGCTTACCTCATCTTACACCCTTAATGCACACACCCTACAAGACCCTCTATGGACCACCACATAGTCATGAGTCACGGAGGGAAATGATGTCAAGGGGCTCCCCATGTACAGAGAAAGAGGGAGAATAAACAGGGAAACAGCTTGTGCAGGATGAAAATGAAAGGGAGGGCAGGTCTGCATGAGTAGAGAAGGGTTACATATGGACAGGGACCCGTGGAGTCTCCAGAAATACAACAAGGTAAAGGTTTGGGGTGGGAAAAAGTCAGCATCTTCAAGGACAGCCAGGTCAGTGACAAGGGCAGAGGCCAGAGGTCTTGGGGGAGAGGGATCATGAATGACAACTGCTAATCAAAACTTGGGGAGGCCACAGGAAGGCCAGATCAAGTCACATCTTGCTTTCTACTTTAACAGATCAGAGCTTCAAAATGGGCAGGAGGTGCCCAGCCAACAAAGGAAACCTATGTCCAGGCTGGAGATGATGAGGTGACAATACAGCATTTGAGGGACAGGATCCCTCTGCCACCACCAAGGATTTGTTAGCATGTACGTGAAATATGAGACAAGAGGATCTAGCAGACCACTAGGCACTGGGGCTTTAGCTAGACAACTGAGCAATCAACGTGCTTTTCTTTCCTGAGAGAGATGGGACGAGGGTGGAGAACAAGGGGATAGAAGGCCAAGATGTGGTTCTAAGGTAGTCACTAGATATCCTGGGAGGCTCGAGGTGTCAGAAGCACATATATTTGGGTGCTCTCAGATGTAGGTAGTGATAAAAGCCACCTAAGCCAGGACACCTGAGTGCACGAAGAAGAGATGCTGAGAGAGATAGCCAGGGGAGATACCAGCGAGCCTGAGGAAACTAAGAGGAGCCAGGGCTAGAGACCATTTTGTATAAGGGAAAGCCCCACCCAGGTCCTAAGTCCCTAATAGCAGATCCTTGGCTTACCATCTCAGAACAGCCGATGGAGTGGAATCTGCATGGAATCCGGCACTTGTTGCATGATCTAACATGGTCCTGAAACTGAAGGATAAGGAGGATAAAGTTACCAGGGTCACTGTCATTACTGAGGGTCTCCCTTCCCCCACCTGTCCCATTTTCTTAATGTACTGATTAAGTAAGAATTAACAAAAGAAACCACTGGATGCCCCCTATTGGCTTTCTCATTTTCATGCAAGATTAAGATTAGACAAACCATTTAGCACTGTCAATCACTGTGGGAAGCAGACATTTCAGGATTGCTGTGGAAGAGTCTAGCTCATGGCCTTGGGGGAGGTCCATGCCATACAAAAAGCAACCCAGCTGTCATTTCTGTCAGTATACAATATTGAAACCCCTGGGTTATTCAGGTAGAATACTCAGATTCACAGGAACAGAGCATAAGAGCAGGTCAGCCCCTTGCATTATGTAGGGACAGGATAGCACAAAGGACTACTGATAAACACATGAAACCTAAGGACACGCTCCATTGAACACAAACATTTCATATTCAACAAAGGCTGCATGTCTGGTAAGGGCAGGGAAAAGACCACCTCTTTGAGACCCAGTGTGAGGGTAAAGAGTCATTTTTCTTTCACCCACCACTCCAGGCAACAAATGTAGTCAGGTTTGCCCTGTGAAAAATCAACTTAAAACAAAGACTGGGGGAGGCTGAAGAGATGGCCCAGCAGTTGAGAGCACTGGCTGCTCTTCCAGAGGACCTGGGTTCAATTCCCAGCACCCACATGGTGATCCACAACTGTCTATAACTCCAGTTTCAGGAGATCTGAAGTCCTCACACAGACACACGTGCAGGTAAAACACCAATGCACATGAACTAGAAATAAATAAATCATTTAAAAATAATAACAAGTTGGGCATGGTAGTGTACAACTTTAATTCCAGCAGTCAGGAGGCAGAGGCAGGAGGATCTCTGTGAATTCTAGGCCAGTCTGGTCTACAAAGTGAGTTCCAGGACAGCCAGGGATACACACCAAAAACATTATTTGGGGTAACTAAATCTATGTCCTTGGGCCATGGTCATTTTTATTTAGCTAAAAAATAAACCACCTTTTATTATCTCTTATTATCTGGTGGTGAGAGACGTATGTTTTGGCAGCAAGGAAGCCTAGCTCAGTAGTAGAAAGCTTGCTTGGTAAGCATGAAGCCCGGAATTCCAACCCCAACACTACACACTCCTACTCCCAAAAAGGAACTTGCCCAACATAAACCATGATTGTGTGTGCACACCTATAATCCTAGCACTTGAGAGTTAGAGGCAGGAAGATCAGGAGTTCAAGGTCATCCTTGGCTACACATTAAGTGTAAGACCAGCCTGAGCTACGTGAAACCCTGGTATGGGTGGGGGTAGGGAAATGCTGGACAAGGTGAAATGTGCCCTTAGGGAAAATCCATGACTTTAAGCCAGCCTTGTCTACATAGCAAATTCTAGTCACCCAGGGCTATATAATGAGTCCCTCCCACAAAACAAATGAACAACAACAAAAAAATCAAAATGAATATTGGAGGATAAGCTACCAGGCCCAAGAGCATGCCAATCCTAGTAACAGCAAATAAACCTCACTTTGTTGCTATTCTTCTCTGGGCACCAGGTCATAAACTATCCCAAATGACAGACCTTCACCACTGACCACCAAAGATCTAGCACCCATGGTGTTCAGAAGATGGAAGGAATTGCTTTACCTTCTCCCGAGAGATCTTCTTCTTGCCACAGCCATAACAAGTTAAGGGAAACTTAGGGCAGACCTCGTAGTGTACCTTAAAGAAAAAAAACAGGAACATCAGATGAGGATGCCAACACCAGGACAGGACAATGAAGGAGGGGACACATGAAGTGCTCAAGACAGCAGCAAACACCTAGGATACTGATGTACTCAGGAGTCCTCAGACCCTCTCTGAAAGCTGTGTTTACTACTGAGTGAGATCCTGCAGGCACCCTTACAAATCCAGACTTTAGGACTTTCTTCTTCCTCCATAGCCTCCAGAGAACATGAGAAAGATGAAGAAAGGAGCATCACCATTTTGCAGCACCTGACTAGAACAAAGGGTCTATGTAGAGATGAAATGGCAGTGCAGGGCTTTCTTACAACTAGACTATACTGTCCTTACACGGCCCCAGAGCACAGCCAGATTACCTTGAAGAGAAACCTTGATATGCTACTCAAAATACCCAACATCCAGATGCTCTTGTTCGTTTGGCCCAATCATACACAGAGGAACACAGTGCCAACACCTGGGATGTGAAGAATAAATACAGTAGGCAACTGAGAAAGGGCCTGGAAAAAGAGATGCCAATGACCCTGACTCCAACAAATATAAGTGAAGGGTACCTTTTCACAGTGGGATGTGGACAAGCCAGAAAGTGGCACAGTAAATATTGTACTTAGGTGTGTATGTAATGTAATGGGGGGGGGGGAGGAAGGGGCAAATGAAAATCCTCTAGGCCATTGTGAACATGCCCTCAAAGGGGACACCGAGTCCTCAGTCCCTTCCTTTCACTCCCCTATCATGTACTCCAAAGCCAAGACAAACCTCTCTTTGGAAAGCAATTATCTCAGGCCCTTGTTAAAGCTATGGCAAGATGTTACTGATAACGCATCCTAAAGGACATGTAGTTAGAGTAGCTCAGGAACAGTTGCAGGGGTGACACACAGTTGGTGAATCACAATGCTGTTTTCTCTACCTGCTGGCTGCATTTCAATTTTTCTAAAATGAGACACATTTTTCTTGTTGTTTGGGGGGAGGTAAGCTCCTGAGTGCTGGGATTATGAGTCACCACACTCAGTTATAAACACTTGAAAATAGCCAGGCGGTGGTGACACACGCCTTTAAGCACAGTGCTTGGAAGGCAGAGGCAGGTAGATCTCTGAGTTCAAGGTCAGCCTGGTCTACAGAGTGAGTTCCAGGATGGCCAGGACTGCACAGAGAAACCCTGTTTCGAAAAACAATACAACACTTGAAGACTTTTTGGTCCTGCATGGTGGCATAAGTCATTAATCCCAGCACCTGAAAGGCAGAGCCAAGAGGATCTCTGTGAGCTTGAGGCCAGCCCGGTCTACAGAGCGAGTTCCAGTCCAGCCAAGGCTACAGATAAGAACCTGTCTCAAAATATACATTTATTTATTTCTAGATTTATTTTTTATGTACGAGTATTTTGCCTGGTAAACTATGTACTTGCCTGGTGCCCATGTAAGTCAGAAAAGGGCATTGGATCCCTTCGAACAGGTGTTATGAATTATTGTGAGCTATCATGTATCACGTGGATGCTGTGAACTGAACCCAGGTCCTCTAAAAGAGCAACAAGTACTCTTAACTATAACTACATACCAAAGCCGGATCCAAACCAAGAACCTTCTAACCTCCATGGCACCATGGAGACAAGTATGAAGAAGCTAAGCAAACTCCAATTATGGCAGGAAATTCTAGCTGAATGCCCATGTTGTACCCGACCAGCTCACCTCCAGGTCCGCATGGCTACAGGGTGCCTTGCAGTGCTGGCAGCTCAGGCTCCTTTTAGGGCATTCCTGCTCAGTGTGGTGCTCCTTCTCGCTGAGGCGGACCAGGCCTTTACATGCAGGACACTCAGTGAGCAGGAATGGGCATAGTCCTTCATGGCAGCTCTGGCAACAAAAGGAGGTAAATGAATATAGTACGCAGACCCTGCAGGTAGCCACAGCACTTGCAAGCTTGGTGTTCCATGTTATCCTGCCTACCTATCATGGAGACTGACTTCCTCAAGACCACTCACTGTGCAGACACAGGTCAGTGCTCTTCCCACTTTCGGAAACCAGGGATGCCGGCTCCTAGCTGTACTAGATAGAGCTGACATTGCACCTGGTCTCTGGGTAGATGGTACCCTAAGGACATTCTTCAACTGTACACCCATACCACCCACCTCCCCATGTCAGCTCCCAACTAAGTAAATAGGTTGTTCTAGTATAAAGACAACACACAGTGGGGCCGTGCTGCAGATCTTACCAGTTCTGACCTCATCACTGTTACCTTGGAGGTGGGAGGCAAAAGATGTACAAGGGAGACAAGGAGATCATGTGAAAGTAGCTGCATGGTTCCCAATACCTGGAGCTCTGGGCATGGCTGCCTAGCAAAGGCCTAACATACCTTATCAACAGCCAGACCAAGGTGTTAGGAGGCCAGTTTAGAACTGGCTGCTCTCAATGTACAGGAAGCACACTCAGTACTATGCAGCCTCCATTGTCCATCCATAGAACTCCCACCTTCCTAAACACTCAGTCTCCACTAATAGACACCTCAGCCCCTGGAACCTTTACCCTACTGTCCCCTGCTATAGACACCGAGAGGCTCTGAAGCAGAAGACACCAGAGGAAAACTGCCAGGAGAAGGTTAATAGGCAAGAGGTAAGTTCCTGAGGTTGGGAGAAAGTTCTGAGCAGTTCAGGAGGAAAGTTATTCTGAGAGGACAAGGGGGCGAGGGACCCTCATTCAAATCTGAGAAGGAAGTTGGATTCTGAACAAGTAAAGGCATGTTCATTCAGTTTAATGCTGGGCAACCCCCAAGACAGAACACACAGGGTCACAGATAACCATACTAATAATAGTCAAGACCAAGGAGCTCTCTGGCCCAGCACAAATGTGCTGCATGCTGAGTATGTGACGAGTTATTAAAACAAGCACAAAGAGGGGCCTCAAAGGAGCGAATATGCTGTAACAGTTTATTGAGTGTAAAAACTAAAGCACTAAGTTACTACAATTTAGCTAAAAGGCTACTTATGACTTGGGCCTGGGGAAATGGCTCAGTTGATAAAGTACTTGCACACAAACACAAAGACCGGAGTTTTGAACCCCAAACTCCACGGGGGAGGGGAGGGGAAGCCACACATAGCAGTGTATTCCTGTAATCCCAATGTTGGGAAAACAAAGGCAGGAGGGATCCCTGAAGTAAAATGGCTCAACTAACTGTTGAGCTCCAGGCCAATAAGAAATCCTCTTAGCGTTGGTGGCACATGCCTTTAATCCCAACACTTGGGAAGCAGAGGCAGATGGATTTATGTGAGTTTGAGGCCAGCCTGGTCTACAATAGCTAGTTCCAGGACAGCTTCCAAAGCCACAACGAAACCCTATCTCAAAAAAAGCAAAAACGGGGGCTGGAGAGATGGCTCAGAGGTTAAGAGCACTCACTGACTGCTCTTCCAAAGGTCCTGAGTTCAATCCCCAGCAACCACATGGTGGCTCACAACCATCTATCATGAGATCTGGTGCCCTCTTCCGGTGTGCAGGCAAATATACAGACAGAATAATGTGTATGTAATAAAAATAAGTAAATTAAACAAAACAAAAAAAGACAAAAAGGATTTATTAAAAAAAGAAACCCTCTCTCAATCAAGTAGGCAAGTAGGTGGCTTCTGAGGAACAACACCCAAGGCTGAACTCTGACTTCTGCATGTGCACACACAAGACAATACTCAAAGCTGTCCACCTGTGGTAGAAAGCCTAGAACACACACAGCCCTCAATTCAACCCTCTACACTGAAAACATAAAATAAGATAAATGACAAGGCAGCTTAGACTTCCTTTGATATAATCCACAAAGGGAAAGAGCTAGCTGACAGAAGTCTGGTAGGCACCTAGGGGCCTCAGCACTGACTTCGCTCTCAGCTCACCCCTAAAAGTTGCTGTATGTTTTTCTTGCCTTTTATTGAGATAGGATTTTTGGGGTTTTTTTGTTTTGTTTTGTTTTGTTTTTTGAGACAGGGTTTCTCTGTATAGCTTTGGAACCTGTCCTGGAACTTGCTCTGTAGACCAGGCTGGCCTCAAACACAGAGATCCTCCTGCCTCTGACTCCGAGTGCTGGGATTAAAAATCTTTATGTACATTGGTGTGTTGATGTCAGATTCCCTGGAACTGAGTTACAGAAAGGTGTGAGCTGCCATGTGGGTGCTGGGAATTGAATCCAAGTCCCGTGGAAGTCTAACTAATGCTCTTAACCACTGAGCTGTCTTTCCAGCCCCTGAGATAGGATACATTCTGACCATAAACTTTCTATGTAGCTGAGGGTGGCCTTGAACCCCTGATCCAAACAAATTTCAATATTAAAATTTTTCTCATGGGCTTGATATGGCCCAGTGGCAGAGTATGTGCTTTTTATGTTCATGGCCCTGGGTTCAAAGCCCTCCATTGCTGCTTCAAATTCCCAGCTGAGTTTGGGACCTGAGAGTGACCTGAGTTGGAGCTCACTGATTAGTCTAGGCTGGGAGTTACCTAATCCCAGGTACCCTCCGGTCTCTGCCTCTTCAACACTGAGATTACAGGAGTATGCTGCCATCCCTAACCTTTTTTAGATGAGTCCTGAGGGGCCCAGGGACTAAATGTGGTCTTTGGGTCCTGAGCTCAAAGGGTCACAGGCAGAAGATACACTTGTCCCAACACACTCAGGCAACAAGGACAAAGCTCTATTTCCCCAACAGCCCTAGCAGACACAATCCAAATACATCAGCATTTATTCAACCAGAATTCAAATTGAACATTTTAAGCAAATACAGTTGCCATAACTGATTTCTTTTAAAGATTTTGTTTGTTTTGTTGTTTTGGGGGGTAGGGTTTCTCTGTATAGTCTTGGCTGTCCTGGGACTCATTCTGTAGACCAGGCTGGTCTCAAACTCAGAGAACTACCTGCCTCTGCCTCCCAAGTGCTGGGCCACCTGGATGGGGGGAGTAGGACAGTTGGGGGGATGGGGGGAGTGGGTTATATAACCTTGGCTGGTTTGGAATTCACTATGCAGACCAGACTGGCCTCAAACTCATATACATGAGCCTGTTTCTGCCTCTCAAGTGCTGGGATTACACCATACCTGGCGCGCGCACACACACACACACACACACACACACACAAAATTTATTATACATACATACATACATACATGGTGTTTTGCCTATATCCAACTGTGTACCAAGTGTGCATAGTACTCAAGGAGGCCAGAAAAGGGCACTGGATCCTTGGAACTAAAGTTGTAGACTGTTATGAGCTATCATGTGGCTGCTGGGAATTGGACTCAGATCCTTTGCAAGAGCAGCCAGTCAGTACTCTTAAACACAGAGCAAACTCTCTAGCACCCTAACTGAATTTCTTAAGAGCACACAATGAAGGGGCTAGAGAGATGACTCCACAGTTAGGAGCACTTGCTGCTCTTGCAGAGGACTCAGGTTCAATCCCCCATAACACACAGGAGGGCTCACAACCAACCTTAACTCCAGTTCTAGGGGATCCAGTGTTGTCTTCTGGTTCCTCTTTGGGCACGAGGCACACACATGCAGATAAAGCACATAAAATAAAAAGATTTTAAAAAAAGAACACACAATGAGGTTATGGACACTGGCAGACCTGTCTCCCAGTGCCTGATGCTCCCTAGTATTTGCAGTCCTGACTGGTCTGGAACTCACTACGTAGAGACCAGAATTGCCCTGAACTCACAGAGATCTGTCTTTTGTCTTCACCAGTGTGAGAATACAGGTATGCAGCACCATGCCTTGCCTTTGAGAAAGTAGATTTTCACAGGGCTTTCAAATACATCTTCAGAAGGAAGGCATCATCATAAAGGAAAAACAAAGCTAAAAGCTAAGCAGGATTTTTCTCCAACTTTCCAAACATTTTAAATTCAAACCATTAAAAAAAATTGTTTTAGTCACAGTCTTAGTTTTCAGTGAAAATCAAGAAATAAACAGATGTGTGACAGGCAGGAGAGACAGGATTATCTGCAAAGGTAGTAATGACTACACACAGAGTATATCATTTCTATCCTGGCCTGTGACATTTGTCACCAGGGAGGTTTTTATCAATAAAATCAGTTAAGGCAGAGCTGTGCCTGCCCTCCCACGTGACCAAACCCAACTCATCTCAGGGACTTTCCAGAGCTCTCAAAGGGTGAAGCCAGGGACTTTCCAGCCTGCATGCCTGCAAAGCCACATGGCACCAAGCCCATAGCCTGGCTGCAGTCCCTGGCCATCAGTAGAGGCCCACACAGTCACTGACCTCTAGCATCATAGACCTAGAGGCAACAGAAATCCCAGAGGAATCTGGAGCCTAACAGGGCTGGGAACTACTTTTCCACCTGCCCCAGTGATTGCTCAGACACCTTTAAGAGCAAAAGGCCGTATAGTCCCCCGTTCCCTACACCTACACTTTCCTGCATCCACCCTATTTCCCTAGGGGCCATCTCTTTCCGAGACAGCACTAGACATTTCACTTTAAGAATATACTGGGACTATGGCTCCTGATCAGGCCCTGCCAGCATGCTAGAAAAGACTAGTTTCTTGTTCATCCATGTGAAGCCCAAACTGCCTAACTAGCAAGATGAAAGCCAAATCCCAGATCACAAGGTGTAATCAGTCAACAGGAAGGATACAGAGCGAGCATATCCAGACACACATGGTGGAGCACAGGAGAGACAAGGTCTCACTAAGCAGCCCAAGTTACCCCTGAACTCATGATCCCTCTGTCTCAACCTCCCAAGAACTGGGAGGTCTACCTGAGACAAAACATTTTGGAAGGTTGTTGACTGAGCCAACAAAGAGGAATGAGTTAACTTGGAGGACCAGAGTAGCCTATCTAACCATCTGGCCTCTGTGAGGCAGGTTTAACTGAAGATGCTTAAAGATGATATGAGGCTCACACGAATGTTCCCACTCCATTGGCAACATTTGTATACCACCTCTGCTACTGGCCTTTTAGATGTCTTTCCACGACCACATAACAAATACACACATTACTTGAACAATTTCCAGTGTCAACACAAATTACAAGAGAACCCTTATGAACTAGCCATGATAGTACATGCCTTTAATCTCAGTACTCAAGAGTACTCAGATCTCTGAGAATTCCAGGACAACCAGATAGAGACCCTGCCTCAAAAACAAACAAACAAACAAAACAAACAAAAGACAGAAAACAAATAACAAAACAGGAAACCCTTGTGGGTATGATATACAACACAGAATCCAGCTGACCTTAAAAGCTGCAGTTTCCAACAAAGAATTGGATATCTGTAACCTATGTTAATGAGATGCACCAAAGCCAACATGGCTCTAGCTCCTTATCTAAGGCACTTCCAATTCTACTACAGCTCTGGGGTAGAGTAGGAAACAGAGACATGGAAAGAAGTGACAAGCTCTTTGGTATAGACCTATGCTTCACTATTTGGGTTTCAGAAGGGTAGTCTTTAAAAAATAAATAAATAAGTAAAATTAAAGAGACAACACAAAACAAAAACAAAGGTTTTTCTAAGTAGGCCAGGCTAATTTTGGATTCTCCTGCCTCCGCTTCCAAAGGGTTACAGGCATGTGGTGCCACACTCACACCAAGGAACACTTTCTAAGGAGCATGCTTTCTTCACATATATTAGTCAGGACAGTCCCAGCAAGAGTAAAGAACAGCTCCCACGAGAACTATTTTGTAGGGGCTAGAAAAATGGCTCAAAGGTTAAGAGCATTGACTGCTGTTCCAGAGGTCCCAGCTTCAATTCCCAACACAACTGTCTGTAACTCCAGTTACAGGGGTCTAACACTCTCACACAGACATACATGCAATAAAAACACAAATGCATATAAAATAAAAACAAATTATTTTTAAAAATGCTTTGTGGAGCAGAACTCCCCAAAGCCCATTGCTAGAAATTCAGCCACCAGGCCAGAACAGAAATGTCTCTCTACCTCGTACTCTTTCAAGGTTCCCTTCCAGGTGCATCCATCGTTGGGACAGACAGCTGGCAGGCTCTCCACCTCCCTGCGGGCAGCATTATCTGGGAAGGCCTGGAACAGGAACATCCTTGGGTTACACCTTTTCCCAACACCCTACTGCCTATGAAGCAACATCTAGATCTAGACCCTACCCAAAACAACCTGCTCCACCCTCCTGGGCCAGCACATGGAGCAGAAGATAACTAATGACCAGCTAAGCCATACCTCTCAACCTTTCCACCCCTAACCAGTCATGGGAGGCCACTTCTAGCGCCCAACTTCTCATTCTGCTACCAATGTTACCAAACAAAATTTCTAAATATTTTCTGTTCATTTAGACGTGTTTAGCTCAATACAGTGTACTTACCGAACTACTCTCTAAAATAGAAATGCCTTCTTCATACAGGCCTTCATGGACACAGGCAGCACAATTCTGAGGCCCAGAGCTAGTGGGAACAGAGGAAAGAGAAAATTCCACTGCAAAACTTGCTGTAGAGATTAATTGAGCACTGTCTGCTCAGCCCATAATCCAGTTCCACACTGCTCATTCTTAGTTTCTTTCATCTTTGACCCTACGAATGTCAACTGCACAATATTTGAAAAATTCACAAATGAGAAGATTCAAATGTGGAAAGGGGGAACTGGGCTTGAACTTGCAAAGTCAACTCATTTCCTCCTTTTGTCTTTTTGAATCTGTGATGTCAGGGATTAAGGTAAGACTTCCTGAATGCCAGGTAAGTGCTTTATCACCAAGCCTCAACTCTAGCCCTGAGTCCTTTACTTGTGAACAAGGCATTGGCTCTCTGATAACCCTGACACTCCAAAACACATGGCAGACAACGTGGGAGTGTTTATCTTCTCCACATGCACTGCCGCTGCCCTTTCATACCATTACACAGCGACACGTCAGCCACCCACCCACATGACATTCAACCTATCTACCCAGAGCACACTAAGGGAGCTATACTCTTCACACTAAACTTTCTGGTGCCTGGGAAACCAACAATGATGTGTTACACTTAATCTCACATGTCCAAAAATAATATTCTAATATGTAACCTAAGTTTTCACCTGTGTGTGTGTGTGTGTGCGCGCATGTACACTCAAGTGTAAATATAGGGGTGTGTGTACGATTGTGCACTCAAGTGTGAATACAGGTGTGTGTGTGTGTGTGTGTGTGTGTGTGTGTGTGTGTGTAAGCCAGAGGTCAAAAATCTCAAGTATTCCTCCTCAGGTGCCATCTACCTTTTTTCAGATAGAACTGTCACCAGGACCTAGAGCATGAAGATTAAGTTAGGCTAAACAATGAGCCCCAAGAATACTCTTATCCAAAGCTACACAGAGAAACCCTGCCTTGAAAAACCAAAAAAAAAAAAAAAAAATCCTATCTCCTATCTCTGTCTATGATGTAATTACAAATATACATTATCAAGCCCAAATTTTTACACAGGTGGAGGGGATCAAACCAGTCATGATTGCATAGCAAGCTCATTACCATCTATCTACCTAGCCCCATTGTTTGGGTTTTTAATTACTTTTTAAAATTTATTTTGTGTGTAAACATGTTCCAAGGTGTGCAGGTAGAGGTCAGAAGACAACCTGTGGGAGTTAGTTCCTTCCTGTCACCATGTGTGGATTATGGGCTCAAACCCAGGTCATCAGGCTTGGCAACAAGTGCCTTTACCCACTGAGCCATCTCTCTGACTTCTGTTATTTTTGAAATAGATCGAGGTTGGTTTTGAACTTGCTATGTAGTCAAGGATGACTTTGACTTCTAGCTTCTACCTACCAAGAGTTGGGAAAGAGAATCTACACTATCATACCTTGCCATGATCAATTCTGAATTTTTTTTTTTTTTTTAAGACAAAGTAGTCCTAGGACTCACTCTGTAGACTAGGCTGGCCTTGAACTCACAGAGATCCTCATCCTCCTGCTTCTGCCTCCTAAGTGCTGGGATTAAAGGACTGTTTCACCATACTCAGGTATAATCAATGTTTTTAAACGGTAAATTTTACGTTCTTGGTTTTGGCTAAGCCTCCAGAATCCAAGCAGAATTTGTACTGGCAACCACTATACTAGACAGTGCAATCTAACATCAGAGCCGCCCACTTGCCCTTGCCCACCTGGGCAGCATGCCATGCACACCTGAGGATGCTGGTCAGGCAGAAGGAGCAGTAGCGGTGACCACACTGGGCCTGGAAGGGCCTCCGTAGGATGTTTCTGCAAGCTGAACACAGGTACTTGGCTTCTAACTTGGTCCCCAGGAGGGTCTTGGAGAAGCCAGGCTGCAGCAGGTCTAGGGAGCCAGGGGGAGTCACACTGGCTGCAGCCATGTGAGTTATAACCCCCACACACCACAAAGCCCTAAAGAAAAACACAGATCATATCACACCTCAATTCAGAATAATCCTCTAGACCAGCGGTTCTCGGCTTTCCTAATGCTTCCGTCCTTTAATAACAGTCCCTCATGTTGTGGTGACCCCCCAATCATAAAATTATTTTTGCTACTACTTCATAATTGTAATTTTGTTACTGTTATGAATTGTAAATATTTTTTCTGATGGTTTTAAGCAATCTTTATGAGTCATTCTACCCTCAAAGGGGTCACAACCCACAAGTTGAGAACCACCACTCTAGAAGGAAAAGCAAAGTGATGGAGTCTACCAGAGGCACATGGTGAGGTGCCTGGGTCACTACACTGATTTTGAAAGAGGATCTAAGAAACAAGATTTTAGAGTTCTGGGAAGCCTTGAATATAAGCCAAACAGATCTCGTGCTACAAATGTGGGACAAGATGTCAATAAGAATGACAGCAACCTAGTGGGACCCACAATAACTATCCAATTCATGAGCTTCCTACCTTCTGGCATCAAATAGGTCCTGGCTGGAGCTCTTTCTACTGAAGCTAATAGTCAGCATCTTCTGTCCTACACCCATGGTCCTTACAATAAGCATGTTTCAAGATGGTGGATGGCTTCTGAAGCATACCAAAGGCTAGCAGGACAGAAAATGTCTATCTGCCAGTTCCTTAAGTCCTAAACTGCATCCCGGAGGTGGCCACACCCAGGCATGAGACACAACCAGTATGCCATTTGTTACTGTGCTCCACACACTGCAGTGAGCCCACAGCCTGCAGAGCCCCTCTTCATGGCAGTCTACATCTGACACTTGTCATCCTCGCCAAGATGCCTTTCCTCAGAATCAACTAGAACCTGCTTTTTTTTTTCCCTCCTCTGAACATCACCAGCGCCACACCAGAAGAACCACCTGTCTGCACCATCCTGTTTTCCTTTTCTATCAACCCCAGGCTCCTCCTTTATCCTCCATCACAGAAGCCTCCACTGGGTTCCCTCTACACTCCCAGAGTAACTACACAGCAGTTAGGCTCTCCTCTTCCTCATTGTCTCAGGTAGCACTCTGGGAGCCCTCACACTCGGGAGCCCAGGAAGAGAGGCCTCCTCAGGCTGAGGCAGGGGTGGAGAGGCCTGGACTACCTGAAGTGGACGACATGTCTTCCAATGGCCTCTCATACCTGTAGTACACCATTTCCCAGTGACAACCTCCTTGCCACATTTCTATCTCCAAAGTCGTCTAAAGGCTGGGGGCAGTTACTAACCATACTTTCTGCCAAAAAGGGATCCTCAGAGCCTGTGAGAAGGGTGTGGGAAGGGCTCTTACTCAGAAAAGCAGGCTAATACCAATGAGGGCAAAGAGGTCTGGGGTACAGAGTAGGAGGATACGGGCATGGACCTCCCAGGGCCTTAGCTGCCAAGAAGGGGTTCAGCTTCAGAAGCCAAGCTTAAGGAAGAAGTGAGTTGTGTGCCCTGGGATAACACATTAGTAGTTATGTAGTGTCTGAGGTGTGTTGAAGGCAGGGAGGGCATAAGCAGCAGAGAACAGAGTGTCCTTAGAGTCCTCTCCTCCCAGCAAAACCCCTGTTATGTTTCATTTAATTAACAAATCGCCCCTCAGAACCATTCCTACATTTAAATTCCAGAACAATTCCGGCTCCAGTACAATGGCAGCATTGGCTGCCTCAGGCCTGGGCAACTGCTGGACAGGGCCTTGCTGCCTCCTTTAAACCTTGCTGGCCCCACTGACTTGCCTGCCTTGCTGTCTTGGTGTCCCTCGAAGTCTTGGGACACTCACATCTTGGCATGAACAAGATGCCATCCACCAGCACTGGTGAAGGTTACAGGGAGTGAGAAAAACAGAGTGTGGGTCTAGTGCCACAGCATGAGTCACTTGGTTCTAGGTCTACTGGCCTGAAAAATGAGTGACTGCCCAGGCTACCAAGGTCTAGTCTTCTCTGCCCGATGCCCTCAGGGCTACCTGCTGCTCACCGGGGACTCATCAAGCCCATAGGTTCTGAGTTCACTCCTTGCCCAATCCTTGTCAATCCTTTCAACTCTGCCTCCTCTGATGGACACCCTGCCCTCTGTCCTTCACACCTATACCAAACACCATCACCCACAGTGTCAAGCCATACTCAGAAGAAAGACAATTGTACAACCCCTACATTGACTATGCTCTGATCTCCAATGCTTTCCATTACTCCCAAACACTCTAGCCCTAAACACAATGTCATTTACCTCCCCTGGTAATCAGGTGCTCAGAGTCCCAAGAGATCATGGAAAGACCCAGGGACCACCAGGACATGCCTGTTTCATGTTTCAAAGCAACATTCATTATAAAGATGACCGTCGCTTACAAGCGCAGCTTACTATCCTTTCAAATGCACCTTGATTCTGATTACACATAATAAAACAATCCCATGCCATTCACAATGCACCAACAGCTGTCACCTGCCACTTTCTTCTATTCAACAAATGTTTTTCAGATGCCAGGCACCAGCATGACTGGTTTCTGTGAACCAACCCTTAGCTGAGGGTATTGAGTCCTGAAGCAAGAGTCCTACTAAGACAAAGCCCAATAGCATACAGAGCTTCCATTAAACTCCTCTGTACTGTCTGTATGTCTGTCTGTATGTATGTATGTCTGTCTGTATTGTATGTCTCAAAGAGGAAAGAAATTTCATCCGTACACCTAGAAAGAGATAACTTAATAGTGAGCCCAAGCAGAAAGCACTTTAACTCACATGCCACCCATACCCCACACCCGTTCACCTCTGGGAACTAAGCACCACAACAACCCCACAGTGACCCCACACACTCATGGGATATCCTTTACAAAATGGGAACATCAATGTCTAAGGCTACAACTCCAGAAGGGGACCTGGCGGGGCAGAGATGAGAGCTCCTACACAGAGCACAAGGCTGCTGGGTGTCCCTACTTGCAGGACATGGTTCACACATGCCCATATTCACTCAATTCTTCTGCACAGACAATTTAATGACTCCTCCATCGAAGTTCACAGAGCATGTTTAATCTACATCTACTCTAAACATCCAACAGGGAGGACAGCCCTGGGCAGGAAGGCAAACCCTTTCTGAGACAGATGTATCTCTTTGCATCACGTGTGCATCTGCTCTGTGGGAGGAAATTCACTAAAGCCTTAGCAACTCAGTAAGACAGCATGTCAAAAACAAACAAAACCCCAGCTGGCACAAAACACCAGAAAGACATGAATGTAGGACAGGTTTTATAGGGAGTACTGCCTGAGCCATATGTGGAGCACCAGTAATCGGAAGGCATTTAAAGTATAAACAAATTGTTAAAGAACAAATTAATGGAATTAACAAAGTGTAGGGCTGGAGATATGGCTCAGTGGGTTAGGGGCACCTGCTGCTCTTCCAGAGGTCCAGAGTTTGGTTCCCAGGACCCACAATGGTAATTAACCCACCTGTAACTGCAGTTTCAGGGATCCAATGCCCTCATCTGGCTTCTGCAGACACTGTACACATGTGATGCACAGACACCATGCAGATAAACACTAATGCACATAAGATAAAAATTTAGTATCTAACTAAAAATTGGAGGGGGTGGGGGTTGAGACATGGTTTCTCTGTGTAGCCTTGGCTGTCCTGGAACTCAACTCTATGCCAGGCTGACCTCAAACTCACAAAGATCAGCCTGTTGCTGCCTCCCCAGTGCTGGGATTAAAGGTGTGCACCACAACTACCTAGCTAAGTAAAAAATGTTTTAATTTAAACAAGGCCACAGCACACAGCAGGGCTTCACCCTTCCCTCTACCCATCTCCCAGATGTGCTCCTCAGCAACCTCTTCCCCTGCTCCAGTCTCACATGCCTGGCAAAGACACATTTAGATCTGTCAGGACCTCAACAGTCAAACATAACAAACAGAAAGCTCCAGCTCTGACTGCAGAGCTTCCCTGCTGCCTCTCGGACCTCCTGGGAGCCAGAGGGATCTTTATCACAACATGAAGACTGGACCTCTACTCAGCTCAGAACCTCAGTAGCTTCCCAGCTCTGGTCATGAAAGTGAAAGCTACCCCAACTCCACCTGTCTTCCCTACCCATCTCCCACCAGGTCTGAACCATGCCCATCCTGCTAATGCCTTATTCCCAGGAACTGGCTGTCAGAAGGAAGACAGAGTTAGAAAGAGGAAGGAGGGGTGCCAGCTTCTATACCTCTCCCCTCCTGGCTGCTACTGGGGCAGTAGCCCTCCACTGATGGCTACAGCCACATCACTAACTAGAGAGCCAGCTCAGCTAGCTCTGGCACACAACACAAAATCCCTTTCTGTGACAACTGGCCCAGCCTGTCACAAACTCACTTCTTCCTCCAACCCATGCCCTCTGCTCTAAACAGAGCACCCCAACTCTGGGTCATGTGCCAGCTGTCCAAATCCCAAATCCTTGATTTTCTTGTGTTTAAGTTTCCAGTTCCCATCCACCTAAATTATAATCTGCCCCAAATACCAACTACACTGCCCACTTGGGCTCCAGATCCTAGGTACAGACAGCATCCATTTCAGCTCCTCCTTTATGGATAGGAGCTCGGTAAGCACAGTACATTGATGTGATGGATGCCCTGTGTGGCACCCAGATGGCATCTCTACCATCTACCTCTGTAAAGGAGGCAGGGCCAGTAACAGGGAGGAACATGGCCTACATAAGCATTGAAGCTGCACACCTCATCTTTGGCATAATCCGTAGGACCTACAGGCAATTTTTTTCCTGGATTTTTTTTCTTCTCCAGGTTATCTTGTCCATGCCTGTACAAACTCACAGCTTCCCATGGCATCCACCTGCCAATCCATACTCACAATTTATGTAACAACCACATGGGAAGTGGGGGCTTGGGATCCCACTGTCAAGAAGGAAACCCCAAACCAACTCCCAAAATAGTAGTGAGATGACAGGCAGGAAGCACTTCTTGGAAGAAGGCTTTTTCCACACTGACTGCTCTGACGGAAAGCACCCAGGTGCTGCAGCCCAGGAGCCAGTCAGACTGGATGTGCATGCACACCACCCTCGCTGCAGTCACTGCATAGACCTTTCCAGGCTTCCATCAAGTGTGTAGAGTACTGAGAACCAAGTCCTGCTCCACGACAGCCTGTGCTGTCTGTCCAGGCACAGGGGTACTAGGGAATCCCAGGAAAAGAAGCAGCAAATACATGAACACCTCACAGGCTAGCCCTGCAGTTCAGATCAGGGAGACACTACAGCTGCTTCCAGCTGTGCACATGAGGCTTGATAAAGAACTACCCTTGAGCCCGGTGGTGGTGGTGAACACCTTTAATTCCAGCCCTTGGGAGACAGAGGCAGGAGGAGCTCTGTGAGTTTGAGGTCACCCTGGTTCCAGGACAGCCAGGGTTACACAAACATTTAGAAACAATGTTTATAAATGCCGTGATATGCAAAGTATGCAGCAATAAAGCTAATGTTTAAAAGACTAAAACACCAGTTTGGAATGGGTTGGGGCCTCCACTCAGTAACTTTGGATCACTAAATACCACCTTTCTCAGTCACACGGGCATGGGGCACTGTGGCAAGGCCAAGTGTGACGTCTCTGGACTGGTAGCCAGGAACAAAGGACTTCCAGCTAGTGAATTGTATGCAAGACCTTTGCACTGTGTCCAAGGGGGTAAAAGTTTCGAGTCCCCCAACTCTGTGCTTCTCCGACCTAAGGCCTGCTGGGAGTATGCCTTTGGGTTCTAATCAATCTCATGTCCTCACGACCTACTTGGGGCTTCATGACCATCATGAAGAGTATCCACCAGGTCCAACCTCCACTAAACAGGCTTCAAAAGAGCCCTAGGATCAGACCCCACACCCTGACACTTTACTCATCCCATCAAGAGTTTCCAGAGGGGGACTGGCTCAGTCGTTAAGAGTATTGACTACTCTTCCAGGGGACCTGGGTTCAATTCCCAGCATCCACATGGCAGCTCACAACTTTCTGTAACTCCTGTTCCAGGTCTGGGGGGGGAAAAAAAAAAGCTTCCTGAGGAAACAAGGAAACAGAAGTTCTAAGGGGCTGAGGGAAGGTGAGATAGATGTTAAAGTATAAAGGACAACAGGGAAAGTAAGCCACCAAGGGGCCTGAGAGAGGGGGTGTCGGTGGGTGGTGGAGGCGGGAGTCAGACGCTGGAGTAGTAGGAGTGTCACACCTAATTTGACTCCACAGGTCGAAGTGGGTGGGGGAGGTGGGCTGGAAAAGTGTCCAGGGAGACCAGGTGTTCCTACAAGAGCAGCCACCCTCCAGCCAGCAAGGCACAGGTGGGGATCGTGGGCCCCACAGCAGGGACCCCGGACCGAGATCCGGGGAATGGACCATAGTGACCCCGAGCCACCGAGCCTAGGGCCGCGCAACCTCCTCGCACCGCTGCCGACGTCGCGAACTTTTCCGGGCCCCCTCCCGCCGACTTTCAGTTTCCGTCTCCGTAAAATCCGCCCCCCCCCCCGCCCCACGGCGGTGGCCCGGCATCCGACCCCCCACCGCCACTCCCACCCCACCCCGCGCCTGACCCCGGCCCCACCGGCCGTGAGAGCCGACCCCCACTCAGAACCGCGCCGCCTCACCCAACGGTCTCCGCGCGCCCGGAACTCAGCGCCCGCCGGGAACCACCCACACTGCCGCGGCCCGCCCCGCTTGACGGACAGCCGCACGAGCCTACCAGGAGCGAGCAGGGAGAAGCAGCAGGCGTCGATTTGTCAAATAGGCCTGCCCTCTGACGGACAGGAAAAAGAACCTACCAGGAGCGAGCAGGGAGCCGCAGCGAGCGACGATTGGCCGGTGCCTCGCGGCGTGATACTAAACTTGTTTCCCGGCTTCCCAGCAAAGTCGTGAGCTGCCCTTGGGTTGGCTTAAACCCTCCTGGGACATTCGCGCTTCTACAACATGCCTTGTGCTCTGGAGGTCACTTGCCACCAAACCTGATGACCCGAGTTCTTCCACATCATGGAAGGAGAACAGATGTTTGTGTATTATTTAATCACACACACATATATGTATACATAACACCACACACATATATGTATACACACAGAATAATTAGATTTCACCCATCTTCTGCACCAGGTGTGTCCAACCTGCAGCGTGTATCCAAGGATGACCATAAATGCATCCCAACACTTGTAGATGTTATATCACAATGTCAAAAGGATGAACACCTCTGCACTATACTCTCTGAGTCTCATCTGAATTCATTCTGTGTCTGACTTTGAGAGATAATTCTGCCTTTCTCTTTGGCTATTAGACTCTTGAAATAATGTTCCCTAAGAATATTGACACATTCTCCAGGAATCTCATGCAGTAGAAGGGAAAAGGCTGTAGGTCAACCAAAGGAGAAACTTGTCTCCTGGGAAGACATTCGCAACCTCAGGCCATCTGGCTGGTGGACTGGAGATGAGACAATGAGATGGTCAGTGATGGACAGGACCACACTTTGACTCAGCCTACTTAGTGATGCATAATTCTGGCCTCTACTTGAAGTTAAACTTCATGCAGGACCCTGATGCGGGTGGATGTGTTACTTTCTAATGTGGCCACACTGAATACATCTTTTTTGCTTTTGACTAGTGATTTTTCTCTTTAATTAGCTTATTGAGGGCAAGTGACCGAGCTTGCTAGGGATGCCAGAACAGGCTCTGACCCTAGTAACTACAGTAGCAATCTCATGAAGGTTTCAGGGACTAGGGATCTGAGGGGAGTCCAGGTGAGAGCCTGGTAACTAACGAGTAGATCCCCTGTGGCTGTGAAAACTATTTAAAGCTGGGCTACTGGCCACACTGACTGCACTCTTACTTCTTAGGAGCTGGAATTCCCCTGACTGAATCAGGAATTCCACCAATATGACAGCAAGATTGTCCTCTTTTTATAAAACTCAGGCAGCCACTGGGTCAGTTAGCTTCCTAGAGACCGTTTGCCCCAAGCAACCATTGAGTTCACTCACACTAGTGAGCCCTCACCTGCAGGAACTTCTTCAAGATCCCAAACTCAGCTCTACCAGTGTAAGGAGATATTTCCTCCAGGTGGCTTCCTGAGGGCAAAATGCATGTCTGCTCCATCCTCCAGGCATCCCTTCACCCATACCTACCAAAGATTTCACCACAAAGACACTGTCCTTAATGGCAGCCAAGCCAGAGATTGACATTACCATAGCAACCTTAACTGTAGCCTACTGGGCCAATGATGCCACCACAAATGTGTCCCTTTAGACTTCTGTACTTTTGAGATTTCATGTGCACTTTTAGGGGCGGGACACTGCTGTGCAGAGTGTGTATAGAGTTAGACCAGGTCAAGAGATGGCAGATGTCCTGAATGGGAAGTGGCCTCACTACTGCCCCACCCACCAGCACAGAAGTGGGTGACATCCTGGGGACCCATCTCGCTCACTGGCTGGGAAATAGGTGAGTCACTGTAATTGTTGGACAACTCAGGGGATTCCCATGTGGGTTCCTTCCTGATAAAAAGAAAGCAAAAGTTACCCAGCAAGACAACCACTGAGGGCCAGGCAGAGGTTGGGGGTGTCCCTTGGGCAAACTCAAGAGGACCCACATCTCACCTGCTCACTCCCCAAGTACCAGGATCAGCCAAGAAATCCATCTTCAGTAGAGCCTTTGGCTCTGCACGGGGCACGGCGGCATTTGTGCTGAAGATGGCTGAGGTGACCATTAAAGCAGGTTGGGACCTCACGTGCTGACAGAGCTTGTTGGGGTTGGACAGGTCAGCGTGTACCACAGTATGTGTGTGGGTCAGAACACAACCTTGGGCGTCTTTCCTGACTTTCCACCTTGAGACAGGCTCTCTCGTTTGCTGCTGCCGAGACTGGGCTAGCTGCCTGGTAAGCTTCCAGCAATTCTCTTGTCTCTGCCTCCTATCTTGCCATAGGCATGCTGGGACTACAGAAGTGAGCTACTGCATCTGGCTTTCCGTGGGTCCTGGGGCTCAGGCTCTCCTGAAGAGACCCAGCCTGGCCACAACCCTTTGCCAGGCAGCACCATTCTCCCTGTGCTTGGCTTGAGCCTTTTTTAGGCCTTAGAGCCTTAGGTAAAAGCTTCTGTCTTTCCTGGTGATCCCAGGTTCTCACCACCACAAGACCATCTTCTGTACAAGATGTAATGGTAGAATTTCTGAACTCTGACCCTTGTGGTTCAGAGCTCAGTTCCATCTTTCACACCAGCTGGCTGTCAGATGATGGGCAGAGCGTAGGCCTTCTTAGCTTTTCAGGCAGCAGCAAGTGTGACACCTGCTGGCCAGAGAGGGAACTGGAGTGGGAGCGAAAAGGCTGTTGTTGACAGGATCTGACAGGTGGGTGGGACCCCACAGGGCAGGCTCACTGTTACCCACATAACTGTACTAGCTCTGCTTCCGCTCAGACCTAGCATCTGGAGTCATCTACCCAAAGCCATGCAGCCACATGTCTGTGGTGATGCACAGCTGTAATCTCAATTCTCAAGAGATCCCAGGGACTCCTTTCCACCCGTGGGAGCTGGGTGTCCCTGCCCCTCCAGATCATATTCTCCACAAGGGCTCCTATTGTTGTAGGATACTATCCTCCAAGCATAGCAGTCTTTACCACCACATCAGAAACAGATGTGATGATTCACAGGCCAGCCTCAAGATTGGGACTATTGATAATCCCCCCATAGAAGGATTGGGTGGGGATGGTCACAGACCTGAGATCTCAGCCCCTCTTCCTTCACTGCCTGCCAGATATATGCAACTCTGTCCCAGATGTATGTGTTTTTTTGTTCTCAGGAGGTGCTAGAATATATAATGTGGAAGGTTAACTGAAAGGGAGACTCCCATCTACGCCACCATAAGGAAGTCATCATCTGTGCTGTGTGAGACTTTTATAGCTGTTTTGGGATTTGCTCCTCTAAGTAACCACTCAACCATGCTTTGTAAGTACCCAATAAACTCAATGGTTTGCCAAGTTAGACTTTAGTGGAATTGTACCTCTATATCTTGTTGGTGCCTTATTTGGTATGAATAGTCATCTATGTATGTCTCCCAGGAAAAGTTCACACAATATCATCATTCACCCTAGAGGTAGAGAACAATGGCAAAGAAAATGTTCTATCCAAGTCCATTTTGGTACACAATGCATTTATTAGGGTCACGTACAGGAGTGGGTGACTCAAAGGCAGCTCCATTACCAGAGTGACCCTGTGCAACTCACAGGCAGTTACACCACTAATAAATTCCTCCCCAGCAACTGTTTGCTGCTTATACTTCAAGTAAGGGCCTATTAGCATTGTCTCTACATGAGGGAATGATAAGAGCTCTAATCTGAGGGTTTCCTTTGGGTGATCACAGCTTCTCTACTTCAAGATAGTGATCATGGGAACCCAGGGGAAACAGCTACATAACACAGTGTCAGGTCCCTGGCTGAACAACTATAGAGAATTGATGGGATATGCAAGCCGCTGTCTGTAAACATTGGGCAGCAGGCAGTGCGGAACTGAGAATCTGAGAGAGGGGAGACAGGTCAGGTTGCCTATGTTTTCTCTGGCTTTCTGTTTAGAACACTTCTCCAATATCTTCACAGGGAGGTGGAGACCAAGCACAGTATTGTGATGAGGAGGTCAAAGGCAGAGAGAGCCCAGGGCAACAGGAGCAGCTGCATTGGTAGACTACGATGCTGCTTGTAACTCCAGGTCCGGGGAATATGACGCCCTCTTCTGGCCTCTACGGGCACTGTACTCACATGCACAACCACCACCACCACCACCCCATACCCAAAATTAAAAGTAAACTATCTTGGGAAGCAGAGGCATGTTGTGGAACATTTAACTATGTAAAGATGTGTCACATTTGTTTATGCCCTGGAGTAATACTTTAACTGTGTAAAGGTGTGTTGCGTTTGTTTAATGATGTAATGAGGTGTGTTTAACTCTGAAAAGATGTGTTGCTTTTGTTTCAACTTGCCTGCCTAAGGCACCTGATTGGTCTAATAAAAAGCTGAATGGCCAATAGCTAGGCAGGAGATGGGCAGGGATGACAGGTAGAGAGAATAAATCTAGGAGGAAAAACCTAGGCTCAGGAAGAAGGACAAAAGAAAAAGAGAGAACGAGGAAGCCGCCTGGAGCCAGCAAGGCAGCCACCACTCAGACATGAGAAGCAGTGAAAGTAAGATACACAGAAGGAAAGAAAGAGAAGAAGCCCCAAGGCAAAAGGTGGTAAAGAGAAACAGGTTAATTTAAGTTTAAAGAGCTAGTCAGAAATGAGCCTAAACTAGGCCAAGCACTCAAAACTAATAATAAGTCTCCATGTCATGATTTGGAAGCTGCTACAGAGAAAGGGAAAGAGAAAGCCTCCTGCAGAGGCAAGTGAATCGCTGTGAG